CTCTGGAAGGTTTTTCATAGCATTCAAGTAGCTTTATACCAGTGGGCCCCTTTGTTACCTTCAAAGGTCTGTCGTATGGCGTAAGATTATGTGGGTGGGTCCCTTTGCTACCCTTAAAGATTTTCCATAGTATGGGCTTAGCATTATGTTGCCAGGTCCCGTTACCACCTTCCAAGATTTCCTCAGAGTATGCGCTTAGTATTTAAGGGGTCGGTCCTTGTATTGCCTTTTGAAGATTTTTGTCCTGGTATGGGCTCACCATGGGCTTAGTATTATGTGGGTGGGCCCCTTGAGTATCCAATGGGCCCCTTTATTGCTTTAAAAGATCTTTCCCCAAATCCTAAACCTCAGCATGGAGTCCGCTAGGTGCAAACGTACTGAAACTAACGCGCAAAAAAGTTTGTCTTCCTGAACGTTGGAAAGCGCACTTTAACGTGCAATTTCCACCAGAGGTTCTGGCACCAAGTGGGCGCGACACTTAGGTAGTAGAAGGCTCACAAGTATTGACAGGGTTGTAAAGAGAAGCAGCAAGAGCTTTGCCAAATGAATTCCAGTAAGCCGTCAAGGCATGTTGATTTTTCTCTTTTTTAAATCCTTCTCGGATGCCCTCCTATTCAACTTTTAACAGTGCTTGCTGGGATGTCATCAATTAGATGGCATCTGCATGGTGGTCTGAAGAGAGCAAGTGCCTGGCGGATCACTGCCCACTGACATTTCGATTGAGTACCCTGGTTTGCAGAGTAAAAGTGCTTTGTGGCTGGCTGACGGAGCTGTTCTGCACTAAGCCCTGAACCCTAAACGGCTTGACTTCAGTCGCTTGTGCAAAATATTGCCACGCCGATGCTCTGCCATGCAGGTAGGAAATTTTTGTGTCCACAAGGATTGTTGAATGGTGTGTAGCAGCAGCAACAGCAGCAGCAGGGTAGTAGATTTACGCAGAAATTGTACCGATTGTGTTTGTGTCGTCATGAATGGGGCTATGTACCAAGTCATACATGACTTTTCCTGGGGTCCCTCCTGTTGAACGAAGACCCTGACATGCGCAGCCTCATGCCTTTGCCCAAAGCCGGCAAGCGAGGACCCGCCTGGCAGTCAGTTCATGTTTGCCAAATATTGTAGTAATATAACCCCAATATTTCCCTGATAGAACCCAATGTTACCCTAACATAGCCCTAAACCCTAAACCCTTAACCCTTAACCCTAATGTTATCCCAATGCGGAAGATGCACACTGCTGGAGGAAGAACCCTGGGTGCTGTGCCGCAAGGGCCTTCGGCCCCGAGCTTGAGAAATGGGTTCAGGGTTTAGGGTATTGGCTCAAATACATATAAATATATATCCCAATAATGGAGAATAAAATGGAAACTACTATAGTTACTATAGTATATGAGGGATTATATTGGGGTTATATTGGGGCTGTTTAGGGATAATGGAAAGGAACATGGATACTACTAGAATTTTGGGGTTGTTTTGGGATAATGGAAAAGAACATGGATGCTACTATAGTATATTGCTCAAGGATTGCTTTGATGAGCAGTGCCACTGTGCAGGAAACAAGGAAGCAAAGCAGCTTTGGAAATGCCTGAAACTTGGCAACAGTTGAAGCAGTGTATTGGGGTTGTTTAGGGATAATGGAAAAGAACATGCAAGCTACTATGGTATATTGGGGTTTTATAGGGGTATAACATAGGGTAACATCGGGCAATACAACCCTAAACCCAAAACGTAAACCCTACACCCTAAACCCTAAACCCTAAAGCCTAAACCCTAAACCCCTAAACCCCTAAACCGGGAGACCCACCGAGGCGGCGGCGTCGCCAAACGTGGCTGCAGCTGAGGCACCCGCAGAGTTGTGACCTTTGCTGTACAGGTTCATGGGTTTAGGGTTTAGGTTCCCCCTCAATTAACCTTAATTAGATCTAGTTATCCTTAAATAACCTTAATTAAGGGGGGAACCTAGGGGGGTAGTATAGAGGGGGGTAGTAGGGGAACCCATGAGTTCAGGTTGCAAAGCTTGCTTCTGATGCTGCCGTGCCTCCTTCCGATGATGATGAGGATGGTAATAATGATAGCCATGGTGGTCTCGTCACTGCGACTTGCTGAAACCTTTGGCTCAGGTAGTCTGAAGCTATCGCAAGACGCCCTATAGGTTTCGTAGAGAAGAATTCCTTTACGCTGCACCTTTATCTATTGAAGCAGTCAGCCGACAACCGCCCAGCTTTTTGCGGGGGCCGTCTACTCCCCGTGCAACCCTGCGCCATCTTTAGGCGGAAATGACGCTAGCAACGTCAACACTAGGATTCAGCGCATGAAATAGAGCGACTCGCCAGCAAAACCCTTAAAAAAAAACAGCGTCCTCAAAGCAAGATCTTGCTCTCACGTAGACTAGTTACAGGTTTCTTGCAAGAAGGATTTGCAGCCTAGACCTGGCTTCTCACACGCCAGGGATTAGAAATTCCTGGCCTTTGTAAGCTGCAGCTCCGCCCCGGCCGGCTTGAGCAGCGGTCGGCGGCGGAGGAGGACAGACAGCATGCAGAAGCAGAGCACGTCGTGACAGGGCAGCTGGGGGAGTTCAGGAAAGAAAGGCCGAAGGGAAGGAAGCCGGCGGAGGGGAAGGGTAGGGAAGGGTAGGGGGGGGGGGAGGGGCGAGGAGGGGGAGGAGAGAGGCGCTCTGCTTCCTTCTTGTGCTGATTCAGGAGAACTGTCTTCAGCAAAAACCGGTAGATCCAAACGGCCGTCGTTGTCAAGATGGAATCTCAGCCAAGTTTGGTCAACCGGGTCCTTGGGTTTGGCCACGGGTGCACCATCCTGCTAGTGAAGGTCTCAGAGCTTAGAGCAAAAACAGCCGCAAAAACTGGACAAAAGAGCCAAGCCCAACCCCCGCCCACGTTCCCTCGCAAGCAATCGGACGGCCGCTGAAGCGGGTACGAAGCCGCAAGCCGGCGTCGGAAACTCTGCCGCCCGCACGAGGCTGTGACCCTGCCATAGGCATCCGCAGCATGGCTGGCTGCCCAGAGATTAGGTGATATTACCCCAATCATAGTGGAGAATCAAATGGAAAAGAACATGGAAAATGAAATGGAAACTGGGATTACAGAGTAGTTTAGTGGGGTTATTTAGGCCGTTCAGCCAAGCTGCTGTTCAACACCCCCTATGGAACCCTATATGGTAGTTTCCCAAAATAAGGGGACCGCAATATGGACCCTAATATACTATAGTCCTTATTATAGGTACCCCCAAAATGGTACCCCTAATTTTAGGAAACTCCCATATTAAACCCCTATGTACCACAGTTGGCGTTCAGGGCAATGAGCCCTCGAAGCTGAAAGCGAAGTTTGGCAGCCTGAGCAGCAAGTCCACTGCCAGCTCCTGCCTGATTTTTGCAGTTTGGTCAGCTAGGAATGAAGGAATGGAGAAGAAAATGGAAAGTATTACAGTGGGTTAGATAGGGACTACTGTTAGGATCCATTTTAGTGTTTCCCTTTTCTTCTCCATTCCTTCCTTCCCAGCTAACCAAAGGCCAGTTTTTACAG